GAGGGCGTTTGTATATTTTGGGTGGCTGGAATTTCAGAACTTTTCCAACATTTGGATATGATATTTGGTTGAGCTAAATAAATCTTCTAAAATAATATTAAAATTAAAATTCAATAATTGAAATGCTTACTCTATTTTGTATATTTAATTAATATTATTAATATTAAACTATTTATTGATTCTAAATCAAAATGAAACCACCCCTCAATTAACAGGTATAATACCCTTCTTATATTCTTAGTAAAGGCCCGAAAATCGGACATTATTTAAGAAATGTCCGAACGTAGGATATGTAATGTGTCGCATTAAAAGTTAACTTAAAATTGATCCCTCAAAAAAAAAAAAGCTCTCTCCCAGTCGTCCCATTGAAAATGTTCGAAGCAAAACATCACGCTCAAGTTAAAATTCGTCTCATATCACCTTATTTTGCGAGGTAGCGCCTCCCTCACTAAAGCCAAATCCGAGGTAAGAATCCCAGAGGACTGGCCGGTTCAAAACGCCTGCGACACTAGAATGTTAATGAGTCTGTCAAATGACATTTGAACTCTCGAAGTCTCCATAGACGGACTCAAGGGGAAAGCTCCCCCCACCACCTACATTTTTCTAAATTATATAAAAAATTAAGAAAAAAAATACATTCAAATTCAAGTTTTAGAATGCCATTTCCAGCCATCTAGTGGTGCCATAGCCATAACATTTCGCACCCCAGCCCCAACCATGGTGGGCCTGAGGCGATCTAGACCCTCCATCTGTCCAAGTACTTCCTAGGCCCCCTCTATTTCGAATCCCTGGATCCGCCACCGTCTGGTTTCATAGACCTGAGCATCGTTCCATCTTGTAATTGGTGAGTGTTCTTGCTGTTGGATCTCCAATACAAGAAATTTTAAACCTTTAATGAACTGTTTTTAAATAAACTGAATATTCGGGCAGTAAAATATTTTCTTTGGCAATTAACAGACGTTAATAGTTCATTTCTATTTTTGCATATACCCTTGTATTTATGCAAGCGAATTTACGGATTTTTGTAGTAAAATGTCTGTAAATAGTTGACATATTTTTTAATCTGTGACTAATTGGAAATTGATAACGTATGTGATATTTTTAACTACTGTGTAAACCTGTTAGCTCCGATGCACAGCTGATTTAATTTCAGTCCCTTTTTGATTAATAATGCAAACCCCGCCCCCACCCCACATCCACCCAGCGGCTGATTGATTAGTGGTTGATTGACTAATAGATTTTAAGATCTACTGCTTCTATTACACTGCCCTCATTGGAGCTTTCGAGATTACAAGAACCTGTTTGGTAAGTAGTATTATATCTTTGAATGTTAGTATTTGTAAATTATTTATTTGTGTTTTTTTTCTGCCTGAAGCAGCATCACCAAAATATTAACAAGATTGCAGTGGAGATGTAGCTTACTGGTTAAGATGCTTGCCTTTCAATCTCAAGGTCGTGGGTTCAAATCCTGTGACAGCACATTTATAAAGCATCTTATTATTATTTCGATTTCACTTTATTCTAGTGGCCCCCTAAGCTGGAAGGGTCACCAACTATAAATAACTATACTGTACTATAAAAAATAAAATAAAAAAACAATATATAAAAATAAAAAACATTTTTCAACAACGCATTCACAACATTTATTGCAATATTCTCTGTACTATGGATAAAGTACACAATCAAGTTACAATATCAAAACAATTATTTCTTCACACCAAGTATATCTGTTTCAAATGTCCTTATTTCCTGTACTGCAACAAAAACAAACTCACACATTTTAATTAACAGTCCTTACTTTTCAAGATGTTAATAAAACTATTCTCATTTGTGAATGCTAAATGGAGGATCAGCAATATCAGGCAACTTCATATCTATCTTGTTATCTTGTAGTTTATTAATAATTTGTAAGATTTAGCATTGCTATTTTTTGTTTATTAGTCGTCCAAGTTGAAATAACGTATATAGAGTAGAGCAACCAACAAATCCAGCAAAGAGCATAAAGCTTACTCGATCCCTTGCTCCTCGTTTTAAGTGCACTGGAACGCCATCATTTGCCTGCAAAATTAAATACAAGTAATATGAAAGATAACAAGAATATACTGTATATAATTAGTAAGGCATTTAGAACTCCAAATGTAATCAGAAATGCCACCATGGTTTTTTTGTTTACATTTAATAAGATCATCATCAGTAAAAATATTGAGTCTGTATTTGGAAATACAGTAGTTATTATACATACCTGAAACAGTGGCCATTTCTCATAAACCCTATTTCTTATTAAACTTCCAAATATTTGGTCACCTCCTAGAGGACTGTACTGTGGTGCTGGTGGCATCGGTTTGACAGCCCATTGGATCTTTGGGGGGTCGGCACACTTCAATTTCTTTATACCCTATGTTACATGCAGGAAAACAAGTGAAAAGAGTTATCAAATTAGGCTAGACTTGCATTTTAGAATGTTATAAGAAGTTACAACTTGCTTAACAAACAAACATGGAAGGTAATCATGTAGGGCTATGTTGTTGTAGTCCCTGCTCTCTTTATTAGATTTCATGAGTTTGAATTGCTGGTGCTTATGACACGAGTGAAGGCCCGGCCCACTGTACATGTTTATGTACTGTCTCTTATACACATCTAGATGTGTATAAGAGACAGGCTAAATAGGTAGACTAGCCTAGGCTAGGTCTAAGCCTGACTAACTGTCTAGGCCCTAGCCTAGCTAGGCCTAGCTAGCTAAGGCTAGCCTAGTGCCAACTACTCACTTCAGGGTTGTAGGCTAACTGTGGTGTACTGGGAGATAATTTCCCAGTCGATGTGTTGTATCTGAAAGCCATTTTATGGAGTATGCATCGGCCAAAAACAAACTAGGCCTATGATTATGTAGGGAAGTGAAATAAAGTGGAAAAAAAACAATGGATATCGCTCCACCTAACGCCCCCAACGGTTTAGCAAAGAAAATAGGCTCATTTGTCCAGACCACAAATACATTATACTGTACTCAACGATTACAAATGAAGGCTAGGCACAAATATCAATCAATTACGTTACCGACACATATAAACTCTAGAGGGTGTTTTCATGTTTATTCCTCTCCTTCTTGTTGCCCATGCCAACATTGTTTTGCCATCACAATAAAGTGTAACCCACATTGTTGTGTTGGGAATTATTTGATGGCTCTGTGAGTCCATGTGAGTTACTCTCATCAAGTGCATGCACATTATTGTCTCTGAAAACTAAGGTATCTCACTTTTCAGAGGGAAGTAACTTAATTATGTCGTACCTCGGCAAAGACAGACACGATGGATTGCCGAAATTAAATGGCCACAGATCTATGGACCGTAATTTGACGCTTTTGGAAGACGAAATTGAGAGGCTTCGTTTCAGTCGGTCAGCCCCACCTGCCGGACGGTCTAGTAGCCGGCCAAATAGCCCAGGACTAGGCCTAGGGAGTCCTCAACCAAGTGGCTTTCAAACGAAAAAAATGATACAGGATGTAAGTTTATACTATTTCTATTTGATCATCATACCATTTTAAAGCTAAAGTTGATTAACTGCGTTGTTAATTTATAAATGTGCTCTTATATTATAAAGTTACCTAGGCCTATAGATAGGTACATATTGAAAATTGTTGAATTATTACAGTCAAATTGTTTTTTCAAATAATTCACAGATTGAAACCTGTGCCTAGATAGATAGAAGCAGTTTGGCGCAGTCGTGGGTTTGATTTCGCAACCCCAAGTTTGGCAATCCGTCGCTGTGTACGTTGCTTGTGTTCTTGCTGAGAAAAGCACTTTAAATATCTGAATTGCTTCTGTCCACTTAGAAGTACTTGGGTACATTTGGGTTGCCTGCTAATCTGCTGATTACAGCAGCAACACTTAAGCATGTGGACCCAATGACTTGGGACATAAAGTAAGCTCTTAATATGAAAAGAACGGTGCTATATAGATGAACAATAAACTAATTACTGTACTTTCCTTTTATTTTTGACAGTTGCATGATCAAGTAAAACTTTACAAATCGGAACTTGATAAGAAAGATAAGTTGATCCAGGACTTATCAAGGTAAAGAATGGACAGATTATTCTTATAAATAATATTAATTAATTAATTCATTTAAATTTCAGCCATGACAAACAGCCTTTAAAAGTGACAGACAAAATATATTGAAAATTGCACAATGTAGTATTCAAGCTACTAGTATTAAATCCCCAAAATTTACTTTACAAATTCAGTTGTCTTATTAAAATGCAATAAATAATAATTCATTGCATAGTTTGCATGCATTTATTGTTTCAGTTTGATATTACATTTCTTTATTTGTTTCACATTCATTAGGGTTGAGTCATCGACTCCATACCGGAGGGTACATTTTAGCCCAGAGGATAAGGTATGTTAATATCTGCTTAAATTTTTTTATAAATTTTTTATTATTTGCATTTTTATAATCAACTTCAAATTCATAATTATTATATATTCATACAAATTGTTTTCAATAGTATAAGAGAGTGCTAATAATGTCTTCCACATTTAAATTCAAATTCTATCCTTAAATTTTAAAATAATCTATAGTTTGGTTTAAAAGCATATCATCATCATCATTTAGCTATTTCGCTCCACTGCAGGAGGAAAGCCTCTTCATCGACTTGCCATTCTTCTCTGTTCTGTGCTCCTCTCCTCCATGTAATGCCTTTGAATTCTCGTATTTCATCCATCCACCTTCTTTTCTGTCTACCTCTTCTCCTGACTCGATTTCTTGGCACCCAATCCATTACTTTTCTTGTCCATCTATTATCCGTCCTTCTTGCTACATGACCTGCCCATCTCCATTTCCTCTTCTTTATTTCGTGTATTATGTCATTCACTTTTGTAGCCTTCCTCACATCTTCGTTTCTGACTCTGTCTCTTCTTGTGATTCCCATCATTGTACGTTCCATTGCTCTTTCTGTCACTTTCAATCTCTGTTCAATTTTCTTCGTAGTTGCCAAGTTTCAGCTGAATAGCCATGACTGGTAAAATACATTGATTAAACAGCTTTTTCTTGAGTGAAAGCGATAAATTTTTATCCCGAAATATGAACCCAAGTTTTCCAAATTTTACCCATGCTAACTGTATTCTTCTATTAACTTCTGCAGTGGTGTCATCCTCCATCCTTATCTTCTTGCCCAAGTATACATAACAGTCTACATTTTCAATTGTCTTTCCATCTAGTGTTATGGTACTACCTGCTACTACCTCTTTATTGAACATAACCTTGGTTTTACTGATGTTGATGTTTAGTCCAGTTTTTTTACTTTCTTCGTGCAATTGATGTAGCATTATCTGAAGCTCCTCTGGATTGTGACTAAATAATAGGATGTCATCAGCAAATCTTAGGTTGTTTAGGTATTCACCATTCACCAATATTCCCTTAGCACCCCAATCCAGATTTTTAAAGATGTTCTCCATCTCTGCAGTAAACGGTTTTGGTGAAATTGGATCTCCTTGTCTTACTCCCTTCAGTATGTTAAATATTCCTGTCGGAACTGTTCATATCGATGTGTACTCTTGCACAAAATAAAAGCATATAAAAAGTGAATCCAATTTTGTTTTTCACTAAATTAAAATGATACTGCTCAGTTGATTTTCTAATTAAAAAAATGGAAATTTCAGAAAAAAATAAAGGTTTTATTTATTTTTATTATGCCCTCTGCTGCCTTGAAATCTTTAAAGATAAGATGTGTATATTTCTTCCTAATTATATAAATTTAAAGCATTTAATCATCCCAATACTATACTGTTTAAATTTACCAATAACATTTTATTTTTATTTTCTCCTCCGTCTGGATGTTTTTGGCAAAATTATTTGCTAAATAAGAAAACTTAAATTTATTTTTATTTTTTCCGCCCTCCTCTGATGATCTTTAAAAAAATAAGTTTGTGAAACGAGGAATAAAAAAGTGTTGCCTAATCCTGATAGTGTAGAGTCATAGAAAGCTTTCTAAATTATAATTATGTGGATGACACATTGTCACTATGCTATAATTTATTAGTATCTCATACCTTTTGATTGTATTATATAGGCATGCTAAGATTTCTTTTATTTATATATCATGTACACCCTTTACAAGGATATTCCATTAAGTAGTCATACACTAAGCTATAATATCACATGTATACGCTATACATAATAAGATGTATCATTACTACAGACAAATCCTAGGTAATTTGTGGCGAGTTCCTTATTATTGATCTAAGGTTTGATAAAATTGCTTCTGCATCAGTAATTGTCAAAGCATTACTCGCTGTTGTAGATGACAGCTCTGTTTTATTATCAACACGGATACCACTAGCAACGGTCACACATGATTAACTGCAGCATCGTTAACAACACATTTTGCCGCAGACCATATATTGTAATTATAATATTTCACAAGATCTGTTAACCTGATTTGGTGAAACACATCTTAAAGTGTTAGAAATAGCCAGAAAGTATAAAAATAATAATAATTTTAGAAATAGATTGATAATAAAAAGTCAACTTTAAATCTACATCTTTTAATTACTTTACACCCAATATATATATTATAAAATTATTAATTATTTATTGTACATAATTAATAGCTGTTTCTTCCAGACTTTTCATGTAATATTTTTTATGTTTTACTATTGATATTTCATTTTTAATTACTGATATTTGTTTTTTTATGCCCAATTTTTTTACAAATAGAATAAATTTTAATTATTTATTGTGTTTCTAAATGACCTTGTTATGTGTCATCATGTATAAGTTATCCCATAATTTCATGCACAGAATAATTATGTTGCAGGACAGGGCAACTGCCACAGCTTTTCATTTTTTATAGAACATTATTATTTATCTAATTAGTTGAAAATAGACATTCTTCAAACTATGTTTCACCTTATTAATATTATATTTATATGCTTTGAACTTCGACATCTCTCATAAGTCAAATGCACAGATTGTACATGTACAGTTTACTCTATGCCAGGATGAATTAACATATTTCTATGGAAACCATATTCATTATTGTGCACGAAGTAGATACTGGTTATATACAAATGCATTTATGTGTGCATTGTTGAACACATCATTCAATTTAATCGTAGGCTAATACTCATAAATTCATATAAAATTCATGGCGTATCTTATGCCATTAAGCTGAAGGTCAGGCTTTGTATTATTCCAATATTTATTTTTCAGTACAAATAATAGGCCTACTGTACAGTAAACAATATAATACTACAGTATACAATATAATACAATACAATATACTGTAATACTACAGTATACAATCTGCTTTTATTCCCCCATGGTTATCCATACCACAATGTTGTCATATATTGTATTTGAACTTTTGTATTATGTAGTAGGATATTTTTAGTATTTATTTTATTTTATTTGCTTTATTTTTTAGGGTTATTAATTCATCATTCATTATTACATTTGTTCGTTCATTATTTTATTCATCCATTCATTCAATCATTAGTATATTTTATATTAGTTACATAAAATCATAAATAACATAATGTAAAGTAATAATTATATAAAAGATTTTTTTAAATATTTTTTATGTATTCATGTAGATCTCTATGTTTTCATAATTTGTAAATATTTCGTAGCCACACATTTTATTATCTATTTATTGCTTTATGGAATTTTCTTTCCAGTATTCAACAATTTATCCTACTGAAGTCATCTCTTCCCACGATCACACAAGTGACTCTCTCCGGCAAGATGTAAGCATTTTGCAATTGAAGAATGACCAATTGAAGAGTGAGGTATGATATTACGATAACAAATTTATTTCCACAAATTATATTTAATTACATATTTCATTTTGCAGTAAATTATATCATAAAGTAAAGTAATTTTAGCTGGTCCTGATTAAGAAACTGAAAAATTTGGGCTGCGCCTTTGGTGTAGCAGCCAACAATGTAACATCTCTTCTGAAAGACGGGGTGCTACTGTTTATAGTACAGTATTTTAAAAATTGAAGTAACAGTGGTATAGAAGAATGAACATACATAATTAATTGTAACCTGACTCCATCCATCTGGCTTAATATCATAAGGCGAGAATTTTTTTATACCTTGTTTATCGAACCGGCCAGCTGCAAAATTTTGATGATTTCAAATAAAAATAAAATTTATTTTTTGGCCAAATAGCGCACTCGCTGCCACGAAAAGAGGAAATTTCAGAAAAAAAAAGTTTTTCTTTATTTTTATTTCGCCCTCCGCTGCCTTGAAATCTCAAAAGATAAGATATGTATATTTCTTCCTAATTAAATAAATTTGAAGCATTTAACCATCCTATTTTACATTCACCAATAAAATTAATTTTTTATTTTCTTCTCCATCTGGATGTTTTTGGCAAAACTATATCCTAAATAAGAAAACAAAATTTTATTTGTATTTTTCATTCCGCCCTCCTCAGATGATCTTTAAAAAAATAAGTATGCAAAACAAGAAATAAAAAAGTCATGCCCAAACAGAATTGAAAAAAAATAAATGCATAAATAAAGAATATAACATCTAATTGTTTTTACATTTAGGTGCGAGATTATCAGAGTCGTATTACCTCCCGTGATGAACAGATTGATGAATTAAAAGTTGAAGTGAACAAGTACAGAGAGAGCAGCGATCGTAATGCTGCCCTCGTGCTGACACTCCAAGGGCGCATCCAGGAACTAAAGGACAAAAACGATATATCCGTACGTGGAGAGTTCACTATCGGCTCGCTGCAGAAGGAAAACAACAATCTTCAAGAGAAGATTCTTGAGCTGGAACGTAGGATACGCAACCTTATTGAGGGAAGGGAAGGTGCGGAGAGGAAACTAGAATCATGGGATAGGCAATTCCATAGTATGTTCTTGCAGCTCAAAGATGTTGCATCTGTTGAGGACAGAACACCGGAATATATGACATCAAAGGTGTGTACTAAAAAATGTCAAAAGGATTTAAATAGATTTGGTAGTTAGCACCTAGTAGTCTTAAAAACAACAAGGTATAACAAACAATGATGGACATACTAAAAAGGGAGGGGGGTGACTGTGGGGTCACATGTGTCGTTAATCTGAATTATAATTTTCAGAAAATTCTCTTGTTTTTAGATCAACGAGGTCGTGCAGGAGAACCTCACGCTGCGAGGGAAAGTTAGTACCCTCTCAGAAGCACTTAGCAATCTTGAGCTGGAATCTAAAGCTGGACGAGAGACTATCCAGCGGCTGGCAGAAGAGATTAGCAGAGAGCAGAAGCAGTCAACGTCTTCGCTCAGCTCAGTCGAAAAAATGCGATTGGTAGGCTCAACTTCTATTATATACCATATAAGTCATTAAATAATTATAATAACGTAAATATTTTTTTTTTTAAATTGAAGCCAGAATACTCTGGTTAATTTCAGTTGCTATACTAACTGGACTGAATGAGGCCTGGTTTGTATAATCTAAGTTCGTGGACCCATGTTATGTGACAGACTTTTTGACTATTAATATAAATTGTAATGCAGTTTAAAATTTTATTTAATGTTTTTAGGAAAAAAACAGTGCAATTCAAGCAAAAACTGAACTTGAGCGAGAGAACAAACTTCTCCGAGAACGTTTCAATGCCGACAAAAAAGCATGGGAGCTTACCAGAGAAGAGTTAAAACAACGTGAATCCCGTCTCGCTGAGTATGGTCACACTAAATCAACGTTGGAGTTCGAGGCCCAAGTGGCTAAGGCTGAGCTGAAGTCTTTGAAGGAGTCCTTAGCAGCAGTGTTATCGTGTGAGCCTACAGAAGAGATTATCCGGTCTCACATCAAGAAAATACATGCCAACACAACTGAGCGACAAAGTGTAAGATGATTTATAGCAACCATTTTTTGTACTTACTGGGTTTTTCTTTCTAGAGCTGAGCGGTTGGCTTCTTGTGCTGTGGACCCCAGTTGAAACCCAGCCAAGTGTCAGTTTTAATTGGAGTCTGACCGCTCGCCTCCTTGGATAACCCTAACTTTGAGAGTTAGGCAGGCTAATGACTATGTTTGTATCCATAATATGTTAAGTTGGGTGGCGCTGCTCTGCTGCCCCAAGATCCAGCTCAAATTTTCAATTTCCAATTTGCATGAGGACCAGTAAAGAATTATTAGTATTATGAAGCCAATATTACATTGCCTATTTTAGTCACTTCTAAAATGTATCTAATCGTTATGATTTACACTTTATCATTGTTATTATCATATATTTATATTTTCAATATATATTTATATTTATAGTTTATTGATGTACTTGAGGCTAAGGTAAAGAGTCTAACAGAGCAGCTCCATAACCAAGTAGACCTACACCACTCCACCATCAAGAGAGCAAGGGAGGCAGAGGATAATTTGGGAGACTTTAAAGTGAGGATTCGAACTATGGAAGATGGTTTAAACACTGGTGAAGTACTGAAAGACACTCTCCGTGCTGAGCGGAAAAAGGTATATACTGTTCTCTATAGCTTGAAAATATTTTTGATGAATTATATGGTGAGCATCACTTACTGTACGCTGATGAAGTCCACAGGCGTCTACGAAGGATAAAATCAAAATAAAGAACTGAACTGGCAAACTTATTTTCATTGTAGTTCAAGATCATCATTATAAAATATATTGTATGTTTATATTTGTTCATTTCTATATCTGTCTCTTATACACATCTAGATGTGTATAAGAGACAGTATATATAATGTGGTGTTGTATCTGATATTCAACTAAATTTGTTTTATGTCTTACTTCCACAGTACATGGCTTTCATTGAAAAAATGTGCCGAGTCCTAAATATGGATGTGATTGCTCTTGACGTTGGATTCGACCTCTGCACAGATGCTGTTTTAGCACGCGCCGAACAGGTAATGCGAAAAGAGGCAGACACAATCACAGACAAGACAACTCATGTGTACAATCTGCAGCGGAAGTTGAAGACGATGAAGCAGCAGGTAGAGAGCAAAGACTTACACATTGATTTGTTGAGGAAGAAGATTTGCACTCAGGAGGACAGCTTACATGGAAGGTCTGCCTTGGAAAAGGAAAAGGTAAAAACTATCCATTTGTGGATTGGTGTTGGTTGATAAACTACTCATCTTCTGATTGCAGGGGCCTCTGCAATTTTGTTTTCATCAATAACAATACTCTTTTAAGTATGGGAAGGTGTGTTGCTGCAGTTGGATGCATAGTGCATTTCTCCTGAACAAAAAGAATAAAAATTTCTCTTCTGCTGTTAACGTAGCATGAAAGTCTACTAAACTGTTATGTTAGTTTATTTTCCCACCTGATAGAGAATTTATTGTAGGCCTAGATATGGCGACTGATCATAAGCACCAGTGATTCTTTGGTGTCGTAACTCAGTCTGAATTGTGTTTTACATTATGAATTATAAATATAATAAACAATGTTAGCTATCTCTTTACAATAGTGTTTATGTATGTGTGCAAAGTTTCATTCTAATTCGTCCTTTGGCTTCAGAGCCATATAGTGCAATGATTTTCAGGTATGTGCATTTATAGTATGAAACAAAATATGTATAATTATTGTTGTTATTTTTTTTATTCAGGATGATATCTTTATGGGAAAAAAGAAACTTGAAAAAGAGAATGACCGTCTGCGAGGTCAGCTTGGTTCTGCCAGACAAGCCATTGCAATGCTAAAGGCTAAACTGATGGACATCGGGGAGGTCAAGGTAATTACCATGTTAATAATAATAATAGTTCGATCTTGATTAAGCGCATTTTGCTAAAAGCCTCAATGCGCTTTTTCATTAGAAATAAAAATCCAGAATAAAACAAAATAAAAATTAATAAATGTGTTTTGAGCAGTTGTTTGATTGTGATTGTGTTAGTTGTTAGTCAAATTTTGGTTGGTAAGTCATTCCAAAGGGAAATGAGGCACTGAGAAATGACTGACTTCCATAAAACTGAGGTGAAGGGTGGACAGAGTGTGTTAAAAGATACTGAGGAAGATTTAAGGTCCTTTTAGGGCATATAGATGGATATAATTATAACATTCATAATAATGATAATAATCTTTATTACTAATAGTAATAACAGTAATTAATATAATAATGATAAAATGATTTAAAAAGTATTTCTATATCAAAATCAATTTTGGACTTTATTTTTTTATTTTTTTAAATTTCTTTATCCTGAACCAAAATAATGTTCAAGGATAAAATCAAAATAAAGAACTGAACTGGCAAACTTATTTTCATTGTAGTTCAAGATCATCATTATAAAATATATTGTATGTTTATATTTGTTCATTTCTATATTTAGATTTATTTTATTGTTAAATTAGTGTTTATGAATAAATCATATTTATTTCTTAAGAAGACAATTATTTAAATAAAAAAATTGTAAACATGTGTAATTTTTATTATAGGTTGAAAACATGGCCCAGGGTGATCAGATTGAAGCACTTTGCAAAGAGCTAACAAAACTTGAGAAGACTAAAGAAAGACAGGCACGGAAAATAGCAGGAATGAAAAACGAGATTGAATTTACTGAACATGAAGCGCATGAAAAGAAATCGCATGCCGAACGATCGGTTACCGCCCTTGTGGAAGAATTACGCGCAACAAAAGCACTACTCATTGATATCCAAAAACGAGAGCGGCAACTTCTCGACTTCCGTCAAGTAGTTGCACGTATGCTGAGCTTGGATGTTACTGTTCTTGCTGTCCCGGATTACGAGATCATCACTCGCTTGGAGAAACTCATCCAGGCACATCACTCGCATTCTCTAACAACGCACTCATTAGAGAGAAGCATTGGGCAAATGGAAAGGGGGTTTCGTGAGGGGTATGAGGATGCCCAGGCTATACTGAACACGCCACGGCGGTCAAGAACAAGATCTCTGTCACCCTCAAGACGTAGAAACATTCACCAAGTTCAGACATACTGAGTTATGTGTGGTAGAAGAAGTCTGAAGTAATAAAAAAGATTTTTTTAAAATTATTTACTATGAAGGGTTTGAATTTTGAACGGCTGAATATCGCATTTTATTATTTTTTCATGGTTTATCATCTTTTTCAAACACAAATATTAATACTACATCTCAATTTTATGTTTAAGACGTATATTTCTGTTTGAATTAGATTGATAATTATGAATCACTTTACAAAAACAAAGAACCAGTAAGTAAAATAAGTGTGTGGATATTTAAATGCTTTCTATGTAATTGTGCGACATTTAAGACTTTCTTTTCATTTTTTACAGTTTTTAGAACTTAATTTTCATATGGAAGAATATTTATAGAGAAGGTAGTGTCTTTTAGGATAAGAGGCGATTGTGTATATATTAAAATGTAACTACTTGTTAAATTCCCTTTATATTTTGTCATAGAATTTTAGCGACCATAAATAAATTATATCGGTTTTACCAATCCAGGCTTTTGTATAGATGCAAATATAATGTCTTTTATTTTAGAGTTAAAGTAAATATTTGTGCTTTAGTGATGTATAAATATTTGGATTTACGCTTTTACAAATCTGGATGAATCAGTAGTATTTAGCCCAGTGGTGTAACAGCAAGAGTCATGGGACCCTCAGGTGAGTGTTGAGGCCCCATACATTTTAGTAATCAATATACGAGGGTCACAAAATCGGCCAAGGAGCCCTTTGAATTGATAGGCCTCCTATAAAAGAAGTGCGAGTCCATGTAAGGATATTCTTGGGTTAAAACCTAGGAGTTACATTGTTTTCATGTGCTAGTTCTGGGTTACTAGACCGTAATGTGAAGGCTTTGTTAGAAGTATGAGTAGTGGGCCCCTTGACTGAGAGCCCATAGGCGTTACGCCACTGACTTAGCAATGGAAGGTAGAACTAAACATGCATTCATCAAATTGACATAGATGTTTAAGTAGCATTTATAAACACAGTTTCTCAATATCCATCCCCAGGTAAGGATAAATAAACATACATTAATCTTGGCCAATCCAAGAATTTGTATGCTCAGGATATTTGCCTTTACCTTTAGGTACAGAAGGATAAACTCAAAAAGTGATATAAATAAATGTAATTGCTACTATTCTGCTAGCGGACTAAACGGGTACATTATGGATGTTTAAATGATGATATCAATATATGTAGTTTGAGACTGTTGTCATAGTATAAAATAATTAGTTGTCATATAATATAAAACTCCTTGTTCGCTTTGAAGCATCAAGAAGACTAATTAGTTAATTAGATTTATTATCCAGTAACAGAGGTTGCACCAGTGGGGGTGGCCAGGCATCGGAGAGCTCCACCTTGAACCGTCAGGAAGAAAAACCTTGGATGACTTCCAAGAGATTTTGAGCGACACCTGACCACACCCACTAATGTTGGGACATCGGGCTCCACCATTGAGCAAATACTGGTGCCACCCCTGATTTAGATTGCAAACAATCTTACAACTCTATTAAGAAAATGGTTTCTTCTGTGAGTCACATTGCATTCTGGGAGAAAGCTGAGGAACTGCCCCGCCCCTTGGATATTGTTGCTAAGTGTGTATGCGAGACGCACATATTCCTAGCCCTGCTCTGATTGGTCAGTTTTTAAATTTGATTGACACACCGGAAAGATCCGTTTGACCTATTGTTCATTCAAATAATTGTTGTTTCTTGGATCATGCTTAACAAGATTAGTAAAAAGTTATTTGAAAGTAATACTGTAGGGTATTAGTAATAAATTATGATATGTGTTTCAATTCTCAATGATCATGTGAAGTGTGCCAATTACTGTCCTGGGAATCAGTCATGTGATTTAAAATATTGAACCAATCAAATTTAAAGATATACTGTCTGTGTTGGGATAATAGGCTTTAACTATAGCCCCACTTCCTTTCAAACTTATGTAAATGTGCGTGTTTATGGGGCATGTGCATATTTCTGGCTATTGAATACTGTGTTCTGATTGGTCAGTTGTTAAGTTTGATTGGCGCTTAGAAAGATCCATGAATTTGTCCATACTTTACCGGAGACAGTATATCTTTAATGTTTGATTTTGTATGTCACTTGTAACGTATGCCGTGCATACATGCTTTTAGCCTTTGCAACGTGCGCAGTTTCTGTAAAATTTACTTCTACTGTATCATTTTGTTCATAGAAATAAAGTCTTTTCTAGAATAATTCAGATACCTTTAATTCTTATTTACATCGTATTCATATTTTTTGCAAATATAGACTTCATTATATGTAATTTGATTAGTTTCATATAGCCTATAAAGTTGGCAGAATGCCTCAAAGCATTTTCAATACATAAAAATAGCACAAAAAAAAGTTATAAAACATGCAATCGAAACAGCAATGGTTAAAGTGAACAGAAAAGGTTTTCGCGTTTGCAGTGTTGTTATAGCAAACTGGCTTATCTTTGAAGAACAAGTACTTTATTAAAAAAAATTAACTGGTCACAAATACAAAAATAGTATGCAGCAGTAACACTTATAAAACAGTTACAGAATCATAACATAATTTGTTCTATGGTACTTGGCTGTTTCGATCCGTGGCGCCAACCTGTCTCTTATACACATCTAGATGTGTATAAGAGACAGGCTCTCTCCCAGTCGCCTCCCAGTCCCCCTCCCACATTGAAAATGTTCAAAGCAAAAATTCGTGCTCAATATCACTTTATTTTGCGGGCTAGCGCTCTTTACCACATTCATCGAGCCTCACCTTCAATCCCTCTCCACTATCCCCACCCCCATTACAAGACTCCTTGATACGGTACTGGTTCTGACCTAAAATACGGGCCCAAATTATCCATAAATGTTTTCCCACACATTGGGATATCTGATCCACAATAGACACTGCGTGCAGGAAGGCACACAGGCAGAGGTGTTAAGAAGTGAATAGAAGGCGCACCGTATTCCACCAGACAAACTAATAGAGTGATAGTTCCAATGCCTATATTGTAAGTCAGAAAACATACGTCGAACAAAACTGCTTCTTAGAATTTATAGGCCAGAGTTACTTCCTCGTTTATTGAACATTATATTACATCAGTAGTGCGTGATAGGTGTCACACTCCTTTATAACCACAGAAATCAAAGATTTGAATAACAAAGCTGTTATTAATACTTTACACAGTGAATGAAGTACACGGGAATACCGTAGAATGCGTAGATTGTGTCTGTAGGGCCTACTGAAATAATCATGGAGAGTGAATTAAAATGTCCGATTTGTCACGATTTTTACAACGATCCTGTTTTGTTTCCATGTGCGCACAGTTTATGTCGCCGATGTCTTCGAGGTATATTTTCGGCTAAGGTAGATCAAGCATACGCCTCGAGGAAACGAAGTCCTGAAAGAATGCTAATTCCCTGTCCTTCGTGCCGTAAGGAGGTGAACCTAAGCTCGAATGAAATTGACTCGATGCAAAGCAATTTTCAACTGAGTAATATCGTCATAAAGTATAAAGAGTCTATCCAAGATGTTGTCAAAGATCCATTGCCTTTCGACGTCATAAGAACAACTAAGATTGATAATAGTAGCGGTAACTTTGAAACTTTTTTTATTGTCAATTTTTGCATTATATATATTATTCCAATTATACTTCTAGATATGTATAAATTAGGTTAGCATATAAACGTTTGAGCGCATGTTTCTAGAGCACTAGGCTTTTGGGAGGAGGTCGGCTTTACCCTCCAGAATCAGCAGACTAGCAGTGTCTGTGTCTCGTTTAGCGCAGGCCTTACCATAAAGCTCCCAATTTTCCACGATTACCCTGAGTCTCCGAGATTTTTGTTTCATATCCTGGCCCGGCCAGTAAACATATTTTCTCCCATGAAATTTGAGTTTGTCTCCATCGCTTGGGAATCTTGTCATCATAATTATTTTTAAGTAGGCGGACTGACTATATAATAACACTTAAATTACATAAATCATAAAATCAAATTTCTTTGATTTGGTTTTCTTTTTATTATTATTATAAT